CAGCCGCATGCTATCGTGAAATACTCATTCAATGGATCTCATGTGGACGAGCTATCCTGCGCAGCTGGTGATACCGTTGTTCTCAAACGCGACGTTGATGATCAATGGATTTATGGTGAGATCTGGTCATTGCGAAGAAGTCTGCGCCAAATGATGGGTTATTAGGTATGAATAGCCGAACGGGTGCTCATGGTATCATTCCATTGTCTTATTTGGATATTCGAGTTCCTCTGACTTCTGGATATGCTTATAATCAAGTCATAGCCACTGCTATCTATGATTTTCAATCGGATACTCCAGGAGACTTGTCTGTGAGTCACTTTCAATGGCAGTCTTATAATTTTCGGCTCAATATAGTGTGCTTGCGCTGCCGAGATTTTACCGTAAAATTTGCGCGCGAACAATAGCCACGCCAGTAATGCCAGCATTTTGCGCGCAAGCTGCCGGCATTTCTGGCGGGCTGTTGTTCACGCACAAATTTTACCGCAAAGTTTCGGCACCGCAAGCACACTACATCAAGGAAAATCGAAGAGTGTGATATCTTCCGATAAAAATTTCTGTTTTCAGTTCCGAGTAAATGACCAGATCACAGCCACCGAACGAGTTGGCACTGATTGGTTGCGAGGAACATTGAATGGTCGAGAAGGCATCTTCCCAGCTAATTTTGTCTCATGCCCTGGTATGGCTAGCCTACCGCTTACGCCAGCTTCAACTCAGCCACAGCCAATGGAACAAATGACTGCAGCCTATGACTATTCTTCTGGCGTTGCTGGTGATTTGGAATTCAGGGCAGGTGAGGTTTTTTGTGGGAGGGGAAGGGTGTACTCCCCAAATCCCGCTAATTCAACACCTTCAGGCGACACCATACAAGTGATAGCACATTTGGATCAAGACTGGATCCGGGGACGCGTGAATGGGCAGGAAGGTCTGGCTCCGCTGTCGTTCTTGGCGCCCTACGGTACTCCAGTCAAGAGTCCAAAGACAAGAGGACTCGCAGCTATTGCAGCTCTTGGCGGCGGGGGAAAGGTAAGCATACTTTATCTCAATGATAGTACCGCAGACCATGCG